ATGACTTTTATGTGACCACACTAACAAAAATAAATTGAAAAAGCCAAATAGGAATAAGATTCTGTTGCATTCTGGTAAAACATTCCACGTCATTTTTCAGAAGGTCATTTTTCCCATGATCTTCTTTCTCTTCTTTTGCAGCTTGCACAGCCTGGTCTTTAGCTGATGTGCCACAACCCCAGATGTTTCATGGTTTAATCATAGCCGTTTTATAGCATTCTAGGACTGTTATGAATGAGGAGGACCATAACAGTAATTTGCCATGCTTATTCACTATTGAAAAGCCAGGTCTCAGCCCAAAATAACCGGCCAACACCATCCCAATAACTGTTTTTCCCCAGGCTCTCAGGTTTCCTTGCTTCTGATAGTTGTTCAGAGAGACCCTAAGAACTCCCTCTCCTTCAAACTGAGCTCTTTCATTCTTATCCAAGAAATATAACTTGAAATATCAGCTAACAGTGTACCCAGTGTTAGGAATGGGAAGGAACTTTTTCCTGCCCTTGCTTGAAGATGATGGGGAAAGATGCATCGCACAGCCCATGACAATTCTTAGCTACTGCCATTCATAAGGCCATGTTTAATTGGAGAAATTGCTTTTCAGTAATGCTGCTACCTACCTGGTGCGTTTAACTGAAGGAAGAGCATTTTATATCTATGTATTATCTGCCCACAACTCCGAGCTGTCCAATAAGTCCCAACAGGATGTTATCTGTCCTTTTAGTTGGCTTAGCTCCTTCATGCCGTGTTTAGATCATGCATGTTAGTGCTGGGTCAAGTACTTTGAATATGAAAATGGTAAAAGCTTGGAGAATCAGTAAAAGCCTTAACAGGAGCCTGGACAAGAATGCAGTGCTAAATCACAGACCAAGCAGATGTATCAGAAGATTCCTTTTCTAAAGAAAACTTGTTTGGATCATTTTACTTCAACTCTGCCGCTGATCTACACTAGGTGGAATATTGAACAGCTCTGGCCTTACAGACTGAAAAATCACATCCTTGAAAAATCAGGGAGACAGGATGCAGCAGGTCTCTGACATCCGTAGCTATGCTCCCTTTTAGAGGGCAGCTCTTTGTAGAATTGCCATCATCTTTCCCACGTTGCCTGAATGTCAAACTGGCACTACCAAACCCTTAAAGCTACCAGGATAGTAGTGATGGCTGATACTATAGAGAAACTGCTGTTGCAGAGTGAAGCTCTGTTCCACGTACCTGTACACAGAATAGAACATACACACAGGCTCGAAGATTTATCTGCTTGGACAGGAGATACATGTAGGACAGTGGATTCTGCAAGGAAGTGGTGCTGTAAGAAACAAGCCTTTTGTGAAGGGACTTGGAAGCAGTACAATGAAACTTAGAAGGCTAGAATGGTACAGCTGTGGACAGTTTTTCACTTTCATCTGGCAGAAACCATTTTTTATTTTTTCCAGTGTTTTGTGAGAACAAAAAAGTTTTGGAGCACAAAGATCAGAAGCAAAACTGAATTGGGCAGAGCTGGTCGCTCCACTGGGACCTTGAAGGAGGACAAGAAATACTTTTTCCAGGGAGACCTTTGTACTTCATTTTAGCTGTTCAACCAAGCCTAGTTCAGCAAAGAATCAGAAGAACCATAACATTTCAAAATTGCATCTCTTAGATGAAAGCAAGCTAGAAAAACATTTGTTGAGTAATGAATTATGTTCTTCTATTATATCTGCACTGCCTGGCATTGCATGAATCTCAGCTGGTTAAAACAGGCCTCAGAACTGAACCTCAAGCCTTCAAAAATATGAGATGAGTTCCCCAACCACAGAGATTTTTCTTTAATACAAATTTGTATTTGTCTTTAGATTTTTGAGCTTTATGGTTAAAATCTGTTCTCTCACTATTACTCTGAGAAGCTTGGGTTTCATTTCACTGTATTTATTTTTTAAGTTCAATTCTCATGACTTTGAAAGCTTTCTAAAGGTCAGATGGAAGGAAGGACCAGATATTGCCACAATTGCCTGCAGTGTAATGCAGTCATTTCATATTGCTTTAAAGCTTCCCAAAACCCATCTCAACTCTTTCTCGTCATCTTACAGAGTGTGGTTAAAAGTGTGGGTTAGGTTTCAGAGGGAACAGAAATTGAGACAAACCTTTTGCCATTAGACGTGGTGCAGGCTCTGGGTGATGTGATGAAAGAGCTGTACAGCTGCTGAAGCCCTATCACAGCACCCGTCTCTAAGGTAGCAGCATCCACTCTTGGACACAGCTATTGTGCATTGGGGTAGGTTGTTTAGCCTTGTATTTATTTAATCTTTGTGGAGATAAAGAGGGATGTTCCACTGAGAGCTCTTTTGTTTCACTCGGTATCAGTTCAATAGGAGGGAGAGCAGCTCTAAAGCCACAAGCAATGGTTTGTATATCTTGTAAGTCTTCTAAAGCCTTGTCATCATATGCTGTATTATGTTGTCTTTTTTACTGAGTGACCATTGCTCTATTGTACACTGTCTGCCTTTTTGTGACTTGATGAACCACATTGTAAAAGGTTGAAATCAATAAAGTTCTCCAGAAAGCAAAAAACCACCGAGGGAAAAATGTTTTCCTACAGCACCATCTTGTGGTCCCTGATTTTAGCACCGAAAGTGTTTCTCCCTGGGCCTGGAAGGTAGAAGTTCTGCTCTGCAGGCTTGGAAACCGCACCCAACCCTCAGCAGTTTCTTTCCCTAGACACAAAAGCACCGTCAAAAGCCTTGTAAGAATACTTGTGGCTTCTTCTGGCTGATCTGTGTCCTAATCGAGATCTTTGAAGGGACAGAAAGGGCTATGGAAAATTGAGTTTGGCTCAGCAACATGCAGCTTGGTACACAAGATACACATCAGCAGTGTAGGCACTGGCAAAAAATCACATTCCAGGTAGATCTGGGGTAACTCCATGTTGAAATTGTTCTGTATTATGCCAAGGTCCAGGACTACAAAAACAAACTATTATCAAAGGGATCTGAATACTTACTAGTGGAAGTAATTGATCAGCTGATCAAAACATCCGTGTTTATGTGGCTATGTCAGTACAGTTCACATCACACACAGGCTTGTGAATGTATATCTGTGGTTTGACCCTAAGGTGATAATCTTGACCTTCAATAATAAGGAAGTAGCAACTCTGACATTTTAGGCAGATATCTATGCAATAGGTAGCAGTTATTTATGCAATACTCATGCTTGACAGCTATTGATTCAATGAACTGTCAAGCTACTATAGAAATTAAAATTTAAAACCAGAGCTTTTGTCTCCTCCAACTGAAAAGCAAAACTTCTAGCTCTTTAGAACATCTTTGCAAAGCTGCTACATGGAAAAGGGACAGGGCCCAAATCCATGTACCGTGCTCTTGACAACTGTCCCACGAGGAGGAATATAACCCTTGCTGTGTCTTTTTCATTTCACCTCCTCCTCTTACAGTGCATATATTTTGCTTATGCTCATTTTGTTCTGGTGCTGCCGGATACGGTTACTGCAGACGCATTGATTGCTTACTGTTAAATACAGTTGTTTTATCAGTATGTGTCCCTTTGTCAGAATGTTATGTGACATTGAAAGCAGTTGTGCTGTCAATAACATGGAAACAGAAGGAATTTATTACCCTTCAAATCAAAATCATGAAGCACCATATGAAAGCCTAACTTTCTTCAGAGCACAGCGCTCTCTCTCCATAACCACCATCAGCCATGAGGATCTATGTGGTTTGTCACATGCACGTTTCAGCTGTGACAGTGCCCCTAAATTCATGCAGCAGGAAACTGGCTTTATCTTTGTCAAAATGTCTGTATACATACTTCACCATTCATAAAAATAATATCAAGAAACAGCAAATACACATGAGATCTGGAAGGCAAACAGAGTCCGATTCAGTCTCATGCATTCTGTTGCTTCACATCAAGATCATAATTCCTTTGCTTGCAAAATCATAACCAAATCACCTGCAATACAAGGCTATTGGCAATTATTGCCATATCAGGCTTTAAAGCTCCTGCATATAGTTATGTCATACCATCAGTAAGTACTCCAACAATTTAATGAGATTGCCCATATGCATATTCCACCCCTATTACACTGGGATTTTAGATGATGCCTTTTTTAGGACTGATGAAACCAAGAAAAAAACCAAAACATTAAATAGGGAATCCTGAAAGTACATAGAGTTTCTAAGAATCACTCATAATTCTCTCTCCAGCTTAGGAGTAAAGCTCCATTCCTTCCAGTTGTAGCTCTTGGAAATCCTGCTCCATGGACTTCATAGGACCTCCCAAAAATTGACCAGCGATTTCATCATTATGGGTGATACTGATTTCTACTGACACCCTTTTTAGGTGTTTAGGTGTTTGTTTCTTTCATTTTTGTTACACTACAGGGAAACAGAAAGAAACTCCATTTTGAAATCACCTACCTTGGGAGACAAGTCATCCAAAGATCAAAGACAGTTCTGTGGTGCAGTGATATACCACAGAGAGAAACAACGCTAGAGAAAACCATACCACAGCTTCCTCAAGTACTTGGTATTTTTGCCAGGCATATCTTTAAAGCAGTGGCCCAACAGGAGGTTTTCCAAATCCTCTGCAGCCTGGTAAGGAATTGGCCATTCTCCTCGATAAGAGTAGCACTATGGCGGGCAGTATGGTGCCATCCAACACTACAACAGAGCAAGCTTGCCACTCACTACGAGTTTAATGAATGACAACACTCTCTTCTTAATCCTGATAATATTCTAAGACTGACCTCTAAACAGACAGACTCTTAACTGGTATCTTTATATCCCTCCACAGGGACGCTATACTGATAAGACTGTCTTTACTATTCAGGAGTTGCCACCAGCAGTTTTGCCTTTCATTGTTACTGAGTTTTTTGTACAGGAGATATGGAATGAGCATGAAGAACTAGAAATGAAGACCTTTTATTGCAAAATCAATAGCATTATCAAGGGTAGACAACATTGTATTACTTTGATACTAAAACTAAGCATCTCATTTTCTAGGGCATATTCAAGTAATCCTGGTGTCCATCTGCTTGAGGTCTTCGAGATCAGCTGGATGTTCCTCTACACCAAAGGGAGAAAAAATACTGAACATCAGTGTAACTAGATTTAGGGACATTTTTATATTTTTGCCAAATCAATACTATCCCTGAAATATTTCCTGATTGTCTTAATGACCTCACTGACGTTTTTATTTCATTGTCACCTTTAGTAGGCTATAGTTTGTCATGCCTATGTGGAGTAAATACCATTTCACTCTCAGATTATATTCAATTCAGTAGTCAACTGCTCTCCAGCACGGAGGAAGAATGCCAAGATGTGGAGCTACATGAACATGTCAGCTGCAAAACACCCCTGCCCATACAGAAGGACAGACTTCTTCAGCACCTGTAAATGGATCCCCATCTCCTGAAAGGAGCAAAACCTTGCTTTGTTTTTCCGCTTTCCCATGCACCACAGTTTACACACGGGATAAGGAATACTGCAATGGCAGAAGACTTAAACCTAGGACTGTAATATTGTCCATGGCTTGCTCTGCTGTCATTTAGCATCTGAGGACAGCAGATATTGTCCTGTGAAATTCTTGCAGACTCATTACTTCTCTGACGACAGAAGCTGAAGGTGATCCCTGATAAATAGTGCCTTTTGACAAAGTTTGCTGGACTGGGAAGCAACAGGCATTTAGTACCATGTATGTTTAGTATTCTACACAGAATTGATACAAGATAAGAATCATGAACTGAAAGAACAAAATAATGCTCCAAGGATAGTCTACCTTTTTTTTTTTTTGTTATGCTCCTTGGAGTCTTCCTTAAATCCGTCCAATAAAGGGCTGTAAGCCTCATCTCTATGTGCTTTTTTCTTCAACGCAATTTTCAATAGTTTCTTGTTTGGTCTTCGTAAAGGATTGACACAATGACTGCAACACATTAAAGAAACAGCTGAAATTAGTTGACTTCCAAAGAAGGAGTCTAGAGAAGATCACTGAGACTGTAGCCATGAAATCCTAGCTCCAGTGAAAAAACTACAAAGCTACAGTAATTTTCAGGGGCAATCACAAGATTTCATCACTAGAACATATACACATTAAGGCTAGGAAAACCATTTCAATAAGCTTTCCCTATCTCTTAGGTTTTATTCATGAATTTCAGCTTGCCCTCTGATCCATACAATGCAACCATGACCAGAAATTTCCTTAGTAACTAGTCCACCAAATTCTATAGCCTGCCTCCCACAGCTGTACAAGGAATTCAGCAGAAGGAAATTAAGACTTTTCAAATTCTTACTCTGTTTTTAAAATCTACACAGTATTACTCAAATATAGCACTAGTTAAGGGCACCTGCATTTTCCTAACCTTTAGTGTCTCTATCTATGCATCATTGCACGTGGTTGTTAATAAAGACTAACAAAACTGAGAAATATTAGATACGATAGTGCAGCTATGGACATAGCAAAAGCACCAGAGAACACAGTTCAAGAAAAGAGATATTACGTTGATAGAACACAAGAGAAACTGTCAATTACCAGGGAAAGGGCAGATGTAGATTCTGCTTCCTGCACGAAAAATACCATTGGAAGGAGGCAAATACACAGTTCCTCAGTGGGGATGAAGCAGTAACAGTCTCAGTGACTTGGGAGATCACTAGCGCTGATCAAGCAAAGGGAGGAGCACTCAGCTCCCTCTATCAGTTTTACAGGAATTCCGTGCTCCTACATGGTCAGTCTGGCCATGTTATGGAATTACCCTCTGCTGTCCTATCCTGGGCATCTCTTGGCAAATAGCTATCCCTGGCTATATAGCACAAAAGCTTTCAGGGCTAGATGCTCAGGTTTAGTCTCTCTTTTTTTTTTTTTTTTTTTTTAATATAAATAGAGATTCCTATGGGAAAACTTGGAATTTGCTCTAAAAGAGGCACAGTAGAATTAATCAATTCTCCCAAATCTCATCACTAAAAGCCCTCTTTTTTGATAACTCTAGAGAACAACTTTTACTCTGGTGCACGCCCATTGCAGAACAGTTTTGGCATTGTATGTAGGACCCTCTCAACAATGACTGTACAACATTGAAAACAAAAGAATTTCCATCCAGAGAGAAGGTTTCAGGGTCATTGCAGGAATGTTTTTCAAAGCCATATCCTCTAGAAACTGTCTCTGAAACTGGTAAAACTCGAAGTTGTAATGTTATAGGATTGCTCTTTTCCTAGAATTCAAATATATGATGTTGGAAATTAAAACCATTTAGCATCTGGTTAATCACTGTGTTAAAAAACAAAGCAAAAACCGAGTCATAGCAGAACAGCAATATTCCTAGTTTCAGTGGCTATGAAAAAACACTGAAATGATCATTTAAACATTAATGTGAATTCTCTCAAAATGAACACATATTAATTCATTTTCCAGAAAATTTATGATAATTTCATGTTAATTCTTTGCCTCCTGTTTTCAGAGTCACCGATGACTCAGTGCTGCTATCTGTATGCTGAACATCAGCTGTTGAGCACAGCGTAAGATGTAATGTGGAGATTTTCACAGCAGGTTTTGTCTAAATGTGGAACTCCATAGCAAATAGCCATCTGCTAAGCAGCCACATTAGTAAAGTCTATGTGTGTGTGTCTGTACGTGCATGTATACGATCCCACACAGACTACTAATATCTTAGTAAAGCAAGAGTTTAACACTGAGGGGGGAAAAAAAATCTTCACAAAAAAGACAATTCTGTCATATTAACCAAGCTATAGCATTAGCCGTTCAATATCAACTACCACCTTGGAAAAATAAAGCCCAGTTATGTTAATACATCCGTCTTAGTTTGATGATTTTGATCTTGTGGAGCTTATGTTTTCCCATTATCATAAGAACAGACACACATGCCAAAACTCTTCACAATATGAAAAGCTAAACTGCTGGCATAGCACTCACAGGCTGTAATGTGCCCTATGCATGAAAAAACCCGCACTGCACATTAGCAGCATTAGAGATAATTAATTTGCTTTTCTCCCAAGCACACTCCCAGCCCATCTCTCTTACTCTGGTCGGGCCTACTACTTTGTTCTTTCCTTGTGCATCTTACTGCATAAATCTAGGTCTATCCCACACAGGCACATTTCTACTTATTCTTCTTTACTAATTGCTTTTTCTCATTCATTTCTTCCCTCATATCTTTCAGATAATTCATTCCTGCTTGCACAAGTCGTTTCCCATGCAGCAGTCAGCTGTTTACCATAGGCAAATAGGCACCACCACTCTTTTGTAGGAATGCCTTTGAAGGCAGTAGTAAAAGAAGCATTTTTGTCTCCCTTCTCCCCATGATTTTTGAGAGCTAAGGCAAGCGGCAGGAAATTTTCTCACTTGTTTTTGTTTAAACTCATGTTACAAAGTGAAATTAACTTTTCCTCAAAACTTTCCCTGTCTTTTTTACTGATGTTCTGGGTTTTCTTTGCACTCAGGACACTGTTTTCGAAAAACCTATTCTGGGTTGAACAGGATGGACTGTGTGTAGCATTGCAGGCTGCCCAATAGCTTGATTTGCTTTTACATCTCATTTGCCACCTTTTTTGCACACAACTGGCAGTCCTTGGTGTTGCCTTCCTGCCAAAGGGGAGAAGAATAGAAACCAGGTTCCTCTAACACATATGAACATACTAGCCTTTCTGGGGAGAAAGGGCAGAAAGTGAGGGATGGTAACTGTAGAGTCAAGGGAGCAGAAGCCTGGTCTTCCCTACCTCAGTGTATGGGCCCAGGAGAAAATCTGCTCTCCATGGAGCTGAACTCAAGCTCAGGCCCCACTGCTCAAGCTCAACTCAGGGCTTCACACACAGACTTCTCTTCTAACCTGCAGGCAGTGCACCTGTGCGTTTTATGTGCAACTTCCCAAGCAAGGGAAATGAGATTAAGTCCAAGTCCTTTATAACTGGGTCTTTAGAAAGAATACTGGGGCATTAACAAACTTTCTTCCTTAAGCCAAGTTAACTCTGGTTAAATAGCTTCAAAATGTAAGGACTCCTTTATGTTTGCACATTAGTTTATTGCCTTTTTACACAATCTTTTCTCCCTTTACGGACTTCAAACATGTCAGCTGTCTATATTTTCTACATTTAGAAGCAGTACTTCATAAGTTTGGTCTGGTCATGCTCTAATGCTTACCTTTTATGCAAACAGGTGCAGCAACACAATGGTAGACACACCAACATAAAAAGTCCTCCTGCCACAAACACAAGCACTCGAAACATCACTTGCATCCCTGTAGAGCCAGCAGAAGTTTGCATTAGTTAGGAATCATTCTGAGATACATGTCGAGGTTTAGCTAACAGAGATGAGACTCTAAGACAGACATGTATATATCTCTGCCAGCAACACAATGGAAAAGAAATAGGTGCTAGAAATGAGCTCAGATGAAAAAGATCAAGTCTCAAATTTGACCCGAGTTTGAATAGTCCAAGTGTTTGGTTGGTTTCAGAAGCAACCGGGGTTTGAGTGAGCCCAGGGGATGGGGGAAGAAAATAAATAAATATTTAAAAAATCCAAGTCCTGTAGAAGCTTCTTTAAAAATGGTGACAAAATCCTGCAAATGAATGCAATCTGAGTTAGTAACTTTTGCAGCATTTTCCTAAAACCTCTTTTTATTCGTAGTGAAATTCAAGACCATCTCACAGAAATGGAAGTGCCCTGAGTCTAATATCTGCTAAGTGCTTCTCTTTTGCCAACAGATTGCTATGAGGCAAACAGCATGTGCTCCCAGGGCAGTAAGCGTTTGAATTTTTTTTGGACATATGTTGTACATCCAGGAGCATTCAAGTAGCTAATTAACCTATGAGCAAATAATTCTGTAAAATAGTCAGCCTTTGATATTTATGTCCAAACAATAAAAGCTTAACTGGAATAAGGAATCAAGCAGTCACAGCTGAATAAGCATATTTAATTTTAACATTTTCTTGAGTGTGTGTCCTAAAAATGAGCAGAAGAGCTACAATTTTCACCATGCAGCTTTTTGTTTTCCCCTCACTATAGTGAAGTGTCTTTTAGGCATAATACAGCGACGGAAGTAGTGAACGAGTATTATTAAAACATTTTGTTTCTGCAGTATGCCCCATCCTGATGGCCTCATACTGAATGGTACTTTGTTCTATCAAAAGTTATCTAGCTATAGTAATTATGGCTGCCCTACAACTGGAATGCATTGCTGCTCAACTACAAGAAAAATGTCAAAAGTTTGATCCTGACCTCTGTGTGCTTCTGAGCATGTACAAACAAGCAGAAAGTGAATTGATCTTGGTTTAAAAGTGTTCTGTTGGAGCTTCACATCTGCATTAAGGCAGGTCTTCCTGAAAAATGGATATAATCTCTGAAACCTGTAGAGGTATGCTGAATTGTATCAGGAAGACCTAAACCATTAAGTTTCTCCAAGGATAGTGACTACACCACCATTTCTGATTAATGGTTCTAGAGTTGCACTACTTTCCTAATGAACTTCTTCCCCTAATGTCCAAGCTAAATTTCCCAAGCAACAATTAGTGGCAATTCCCACTTGTTAGGTCATCTGGTTCTACCAAGAAGAATTTGTGGCTCCTGGACCTGAGCAACTGCTCTTCTCAGCTGTCTTCAGTAGCTATTAAATAACCAGCGCTCCTGAAGGCACATCTGGTTCCTTCACATTTCACTGTTTATTTGTATCACATCACTTGTTTGCTTGTGCTCAGGTTGACAAGATAGCCAGACAACACCTTATCAATGTTTTCTGTATTAATATATACGCAGAAATAAATGCAAGGTTACACTTATTCTGAAGAGTGACCCGAAAAACTAAAGGAAGAAACAGAAATGAAAATTGTATTGTGTGACCAGAAGCAGCATTCAGCCATGAAGCAGTAATCTACAGAAGTATACTTACTGTCCACAAGTGGCAGATAACATTTCAGATCATGGCTGGTTTCTGAAGGACAACACTTATTTGTCAAGCATTCAGTTACGTTAAGGAGCTCTCCTACATGACAAGGAATTAAAATTTGTTTCTCTAGGTGATCGCATCCTTTAAAAAAAAAAAAAGAAAAGTTTGTAAGATCTCTATTCTAGGAACACTACTTAGAGTAGAGGGAGTTATCATTTTGTTGTCTCTAGCGTGTTTTGATAACTTAACTCTGCCAGAAGTATCATTGACTTCATTTATGTTTTTTTTCCTCCCAAAACTAATCAACAGAATATTAAAATTAGCAGAAAAGTTAAAATCAGGTAATCCAAAAATCTTAAATAATTTATTTTGTTTCAGTGAGAAACATTTACAAAAGTGAATCTAAACACCCTTGTGCCACTTTTTTATACTTAGATTTGTAATGTAAGTGGGAAAGACAAACTAAATTTTCTGACTGGACTGTTTCTAATGAAAGAAAGAAAACACAAGACTTTTTTTTTTTTTAAGGGCATAGCATAGAATATATTGCAACTAACCATCTCTCTGCTTGGCACTAATTACATGTTTCTGTAAGTAGCTGGAAGTCAAAAACCCCAAGACAAAACCCCAAGACATCCAATCCAGTTACTGAACAAAATATTTCAGCAATTTTTAAAATTTGCTATTTAGTAACAGACCTATTGATAATCATAAGGTCCTCTGTGAGAAGGGCTTTAACATTTAAGATAAAAAATAGTACATGTCTCTATGTATTTAATTCCTGTAAAACCTGATATCACATCCCTTACCTGACACTTTCACAGCAGCTGCAAAGCATCATTTGGTTCCAACACCACTGCCAAGACTGGCTGCACTATCAGTCTCATGTTTATCACAGACATTACTGGTAGCCAAATTCAGTTTATTAAATGTGGTGCTAGGCACCTCTTTACTTCATGGTAGGTGGTAGTGAATAGCAGTGAGGGTACACAGATGCTAAGATGATGCAGAAACATACTAAGTGAAAAGTAGTATTTTTGCTTCTCCTTTCTCTTTGTTACCCAATTATGGAACCAGGCTTGCAATTTTTGTACACGCCAAGCCCTTTCTGTATTTATAGATATTATCTTTCTTAATGATATTAGGAAATTAACACTGCAATTCCCTTCTCACTGATTTTATGAAATAATGTAGTTCTTGTCATTTAACTTCAGCAGTCCAAAAGGTGAGTGGTTCACCACAAGCTACTGGTCCTGGAGCCTTCCTTAACCAGTAGAAGTGGGAGAGACATTACTGTGGGGCAAAATCCTTCTCTTAGGATGTGCTAAATTGCTCTTTTCTTCCTATGCATACATGGGAAAACTAGAAAACTAGTTCAGATCAGATACAACACCGCTAGGCAAGGTGAATCCTATGGCAAACCATCCAGCATTTCCAGCTCAATCACATCGCTGAAGATGAAGGGGTTTGTAGGAGGGTAGTCACGCAGTGCAAGCAAATTTATGATTGTTCCAACGGGGCACTTAACATCATATTGAAGAGATCTATTGAGTTTTACAGTATCAGACTAAGGGTTTTAAATACATTAGAAGCTGACAGGTAGGGGTAGAAGGGAAGAGTGAGGCAGAAGAGGAAAGGGAAGAAACAATGCTGCAGTGATGAAGTGACACTTACTCATTGGCTTGAAGAAGATTAAGAAAGATTCATATACATCTTTCAGTTTTACGCTTAAGTTCCTGGGTGCCACTTCACTTTTTTCTAAAACATGCTCAGTTGGTGATGCAAAACCTGAAAGCTCATAATGATTAGCTCATTACCATCAAAATATCCATAATTAATTAAATGCAATGACATTTTCATACTGATTATCTTTCATTATGAAGGCATTTGTAGTCATTATGAATTGTGACTACTGATGGCTAGCAAGGTTAAGCATAGATGTCTTTCTGTTGTATTCAATTATGCTACCTCAAATTGCCTCATGAACCACAATGAGTAAAGAACTAAAGCTGTGAAATTTAAATTAAAGAACCCATTCAGGTGGAAATTGTCAAGATTAAAAGCCCTACTGTTCACCTATAAGGTGCAGGCTACAAGAAAACTGTGTTATATCCATAGATGTATTTCTCTTACGTATCTCGGCAGAACTTTTGGTTTTGATTCAGATAAAGATAAGACCGCAACTGAAACAGAAACGTGGTGAAAGGCAACTTGATCAGACAGAAGCAAAAATCCTTCTATCCCAACATCTTGTTTCAGACAGTGACCTGCAGCAGTTGTGTAGAAAAGAGCAAAACATTCCTAAATATAGAGGTAATGTAGTATTTTCCCCAAACTCTAGTGACATGTGGGCTCTGAGACTTCTTGATCACCTTTCATTTACACTACTCCAAAAAATGTGGCATCAGTAAACCTTGTTGCCTCACGACATCTCTTTTTCATTAAGCCAAAAGTGCAAATCACAGTGGGACTCCACATTAAGGATAACACCCCAAACCCAGTATTCCTATTTGCTTGCCTTTTTTCTCTCTCCATATGAGAAACTTACACATTCACAACTTTAATAGCTTCCAGCGATGGAGTTTGTTGAAAGCCATTTCACGGTTTTATAGCTCCTTGTGAACAGAAGTGAGATCATGGCCTAACTGAAAACTAAGGTATTGAACAACTTCAGTCTTTTGGATGATTCCTCAGTGAGCATCATCAGGAGCCCCAGGTGTATAAATTCTTGGGGCACAACTTGCCTCTTTCATGCCATACAAAGCTCCTTTGGGTAAAAGAAGCATCAGACTGGGGAGAATGGGACATGTGTCAAAATAGAGAATCTGAAAGTAATGTATAGCAGAACTGTGACCAGCAAAGTTCACAAACAGTTGTGTTGCTCCTCCCCACCAATAACTGAGACAGAATAGAAAATTTTGAAGAATTTGTAAAGATTTCACAGGAAGTTCCTGAGATGAGGTATACAACAATCAGTTTGGTAAGAATTATCCAAGAATATACCATGTTTAAAGAGACAAACCATACATGTAGGTTTAATGGTCACTGCTGATCAATACATGCTGCATCACATAAATGATGAATCACATTTATATCTATATTAGAGCTCACACACATACAATGCCTGGAAAAGTGTTCTGGTTGGGGTTCTTTTTTTCTTTCTTTTTCTTTTTTAAACCAGAACTACTTCCTCATAGAGATAGTGCAGAAACATTTCACAATGACACTTGCAGCAACCGATGGCCTTTCACCACGATCTCAAAAGGCAGTCTCTGAAGTCTGGTTTCTCAATGCACAAAGGATCAAAGGAAAGCTTAATGTGTGGGCTGCTCCTCTACACACATCAAATGACCAAATTTAACTTCTGGTGTGAGTGCAAGTTATCAGCCAAAAATCTTTGCTAACTATTTTAAGGCACCTGCTGTAGTAAGCAAACACATAAAATCTCAACAGATTATAGAAATCCTTTAATTGTATGCTGAAACAAAGACATTGTAGGGAAAAAACAGAAGAATCTATAATCAAAGGTAAAATAAAAGCAAGACAGACTGCCAAGGATGAAACAACCAGCATTTGTTTCGCATACAATGAGGGAAACAGGAACTTTAGTTGTGGGGAAAAACCCCACATTTTGCTGCATTTAAGGGTCAAGACTGATCAATCGTTTCTGGAGTAATTAACTGTTTGCAATATTTTTCAGTATTTTTCAATTATTACCAAGACACCAGAATTATGAACTTAACTTCTGGCTAGTGAAAATACTTGTTTCTTCTATGGCAATGCTTTTCTCTTTCCAATACTCACTTGAATTGATGCAATAAAGCAACACCAGTACCCCACAACTCCACGCTAGATGGGTGCCCCTTAGCAGCATTACTGCAATAAAACCAACAGTAACAATAGCTATGTCGTTATGCATTTAAAAAAAATATTGTTCTAATCCATAAATATGAAGTTAAGATCAAACATGACAGCAGATTGTTGCACAGAGCAGGACAGCCCCTTTTTTTACAATAAGGAGGTGGCCAAACCCAGCAGATTTTTTTTTTTTTCCAGTAAGTGATTTTGAAGAAATTACTCATTTAAAGAGAGCATAAAGGGAGGCATTCTGTTAACAGACACTAGCTAGAAAACTCTGAAGTGTCCTAGAGCTGGACAACAGTCACCTTAAAAAGATCCCTTTTAGCTAAAAATTTCAATCCGGGTTTAATGAACAGGATCAGGACTGAAGAAGTAAAATTGTTGGAAACCTAAAACTGAATCCATTTACCTTCTTGAATTCTTCAGTCTTTTCAAAATCAGAGTGTATGAGATGCTTTGGATAAAAACATTTTTAAAAGGTAGTTTGAAATTGTATTATGGATAAAAATAGTTTTTGAAATCCCCAAGTCATTTGTAGTAACCTAACAGCAGGTTTAAGCTGGGTTTTTTACCTCCAACTGACCCCCGAGGATTGCTTTGCCAGATGCTATATTGCATTTTGCCTGCTGCTCCTGTTGTTATCCTAAAAAAGTCTTTTTCAATTATTACCACATATATTTAGTTGTTAAAACAGCCTAAAACTAGGCGTTATTTTATTAGTATTGGTAAAGGAGGAGAACCCCATTTTCTGAAGTGCTATACAGGGAAAAGAAAGATTGCATTTTACACAGGTATTGGCCTTTTAAAGGGTCTGTTCTCTCTAGACTCCTCCTAAATAAGGAAAGCTTCCCTCCCGTTGGAATGAACCTGTTCTGTAGAACAACATACAAGCACATCCTCTGCCACAGAGAAACTTTGCTTTGGTAGTTAAATGTGAAAATATTTCTTAAGAGAACAAGATTCATGTTTTCCAGGATACCTATTAAAATCTAATGCCATCCAGGACAAACTGGGAAGAGGAAAACAATTCCTAGGAGAAGGAAAACAAGGGAGATAGACCCAATTCCATTTTTCCCCATTACATACTACTTTTGCTGTCTTCTCTGCAACTGTTGGAACAAGACGACCACGGCACGGCTACCCAGAGCACAGCAGCTACAGACTGGTTAGGACAACATGGAACCAAAGCTCACCACAATGGGCTCCCGTTACCATGGTGAAGCTCAGAAAGAACAGTACAGATGTGAGAAATGCATCAGAGTGGCCAGAAAAAGGCTGCACATGCAGTTCAAAAAAAAAAACAAACAGCCCCCATCTCCCCAACTGTTGCAAAGCCTCTTAGTCATCTCATTCATTAAGTTAAAATCAAGTTTATGCTTGATTTTTCCAGTTCAGTGTGCAACACAAACAGGTAATAGATACTTTAGGACATCAAAACACACTCCTCTCAAAACAGACTAAGTTTGATAAGAGTGCTTAAGTTAGAGCTTCCCAATAATCCACTAAATGTGAATTAATTAGGTAACACTATCATCCCACAGGTTCATCAAATATCTGCACACTTGAAATAAAAGCACAGCCTGATATTTATCTTCCTTAGACATTTCCATTCCTTTTATTAAGGAAAGGCCCTTTGAGTAGACTAGGTACAGTGTTTAAAAAAAAAAAAGGAAACTTAAAGTAAACACAGATGATCCAAAATCAGCGCTTCTCCAAACAGCCAAGCTGCCTAAAGCAGTTTGAAATAAGGTACGCTACAACATCCATTTGAACACGTAAGTGATCTTGAATCAAGTTATATATACACATGCAAACATTGTGGGGGTTTTTTCCATTGTGGTTAATTGAGTAACAAATTTAAAGGGTGACTCAGCCTAATTTGTATGAAGCATTAGCTTGATAATATAAGCAACAACATACAGACTCAATTTCATTATTCTGTATAAAGTAGACACAGCCACTCTCAATAGTATCAAAGAAGAGATACTTAGAAATGTCTACTACAGATAAAACATTCTTCATTTTCTGAAGCATGATTTTACATGCAATTAAGATTTTCCATGTTGATTACTCTCACAGAACACTGCATATAGCATGATGCATTTCTGATGCACAAATATGGGACTTTTGAGACTGATGAGAATCTGAGAAAATCACCCCCAAATTTTATGTTGACCACTTAATTTTCTTTTATTAAATCTAGGACTGTTGATTCTCCTCACTGTATTCTAAATGCACTAGGTACAGTGTTTTTAAAAAAAAAAAAAGGAAACTTAAAGTAAACACAGATGATCCAAAATCAGCGCTTCTCCGAACAGCCAAGCTGCCTAAAGCAGTTTGAAATAAGGTACGCTACAACATCCATTTGAACACGTAAGTGATCTTGAATCAAGTTATATATACACATGCAAACATTGTGGGGGTTTTTTCCATTGTGGTTAATTGAGTAACAAATTTAAAGGGTGACTCAGCCTAATTTGTATGAAGCATTAGCTTGATAATATAAGCAACAACATACAGACTCAATTTCATTATTCTGTATAAAGTAGACACAGCCACTCTCAATAGTATCAAAGAAGAGATACTTAGAAATGTCTACTACAGACAAAACATTCTTCATTTTCTGAAGCATGATTTTACATGCAATTAAGATTTTCCATGTTGATTACTCTCACAGAACACTGCATATAGCGTGATGCATTTCTGATGCACCAATATGGGACTTTTGAGACTGATGAGAATCTGAGAAAATCACCCCCAAATTTTATGTTGACCACTTAATTTTCTTTTATTAAATCTAGGACTCTTGATGCTCCTCAGTGTATTCTAAACGTAAGGCTCAACCTTAGTCCACTAGTGAAGAAAGCAAGTCCAACATCCCAAACCACCCCAAATAATTCTTTCTTGTACCATTTCCACAACAGTTAAGTTCCTAGTCATTTATACAGACTACATGCATGGGTTTGTTTGGTTGGTTTTTTTTCCTTTAAATTAACTGCTTTTACTGCAAATCAGTTTCTTATATTCAGTGCAAAATGGTGAAGTCTTGCCCTATTGAACCCTCAGCAGAAACACAAAATAGTAAACTACAATTGTTGCTCTTTTTTATTATCCACTTCTATACAGTACTCAAATCACACAAAAATTACTACTTTGAAGCCTATTGTAAAGAAATTTTTAAACATAAAAAGTAATAGTGGCAACAAATTCATATTCATGGCTTAGTAGCAATTATTTATCTTCAACATGAATTGCTCAAGATGAATGATCTTCATAACCATAAAAGCAAGAGTGACAGATGCAGGATACATCTAAAAATCGTTAGTAGAAAAAAGATTCATTCCGATGCAGACAAAAGATCCACAGGCTGCTGTGAAAGACTTGTACTGCTGAAAAGTAAAGAGCTGTTGTAGTCAATCTAACTCTTTCAATGACAAAACCAGCATAAAAATGCCGTCGCTACACTGCACTCACACCTAGTGAAACTCTTAACAAGGAGAACCTTGCAGATCAAAAAG